GTCACCATCCTTATCAGTGATGACTCCCTTTCCCTATTTCCAAAACCTTGGCAATGCTTCATCCTATGTCACCCAACTATAAGCATGTGCTATAGTGGGAGTTGCTCCCATACACTGACTGATCCTGTGGGATCATCACACAGGTACCCTCCTCAGGCATTGACCAACACACTGTTGAACTTGGTGGTTACAATCCTAAAACAGAGAACTGCAGATATCCTAAAAAGCAAATGGGAAGTGAATACAGAAAAGACCAGGGGGATATACTAATTAATAGATCTTTACAGGCCTATTAGTAGACCTCAGGATACTATAAAAGAGTATAAGTTTTAAGCTTTATAATTTTAAGTTAATTTAATAAATGCTAATGGAAATAGAATTCACAGATGAGAAGGTTTCACCTCCATCAGTAAGAACTATTATAATCCAGGATATAAACTCAAACCAGTTAGCTCCACTTTGATCATGTCACAACTTTATGATAAAAGAAGGAAAACTGTTCAAGAATGATGTTCCTCTCCCATTTACATTCTTTGTTCCTACCTGAAGGTGAAATAACATCTTTTGGGTTTTTGCAACCTAATTTCCATAGGGATGGTCCAAGATAATAGGTTACAAACAATGTTTTTTAAAATTTTGTAATTTGGAAACTTCAGGTATTAAAATTCCTTTCTTTCTGTAAATATATAAGTACATATATATATATATATATTTTGCATGTCATGTATTGCACTACTCTGCTGTACATTAGCCAGGAACATTTAATTGATAAGCTCATACTATTGCCTTTCCCTAAGCTATGGCACTAATGTGTGTCTCTCCTTTCCTCAGATATTATTAGAGAACGAATATATACTTTGTATATGCAGACCTCTATGCTCTCTCAAGTTAACTTAATATTGTCCAATGAGAAGCCAAGACAGAGGGAAAGAGAGTAAGTCTCACATTCTTAGAAGACCATGCTAAAAATGACCACTATTGTCTTGGCTTTTTAGCATCTCCCCTTAACTATTCACAAGAGACCCTACATTAATCCCAGTCTCCTTACTGAATTCCAGTCTCAGTAATTAAACTGAATCATATTATTCCCCCCTGATTATTAAGTGGAAATTGTCATTAATGTTAACAGAACATTATTTAATAGCTGATAACAAAAGCACAGGCCATTTTAAATTCCCTGTGTGACTTTAGTTGCATATGTTATTCTCCATTTCACCTTTAAACATTACAAGTGGTTATCATTACATGTCTGATGTACTGTCACACAAAAGGACACAGTTCAGGGGAGAGAGAAATTAATGCTAGGCAATCCACACTGTACACAAGTTGCTGAAATGCACAACCTTATCATTGTTATTAATATGAAATCACAGAAGTAGTAATGAAGCAAGTGCCATCATGCAAGATTTCCTTGAGAAAGGAGGAAGTTCAACATGTAAACCACAACCCATTAAAAAAAAAAAAAAATCTCCTAATACAACTCCTTTGAGCAGGAGAGAGTTCTGAAGGCTAACAGGCACAAAAGGAAACAGTGACAAGGGTCTCTGATCTATCTGCAAAAATACTGCTTCTTCGCAGCTGAAGAAAGGAATACACAGAATCACAAAGAAATCCTGATTGCTAATGTCTGGACTCCTGGAAACAAAAAAACTTGACAGGACTGATCCCCTAACCTGAGTTCCTTATAACATTTTTTTTAGGGTATTTAGGGTTTTTAATTTCTAAAGCTCCATATATACATGAATTAATTATCACACTGTAATGGGGAAATAAGGGAAATTGATGACCCATAATAACCTGTCTTCAGCCTTTTTTTTTTTTTTTAAGACAGCAGAATAGCTCATGAATGTTGAATGCCTTCATTAACAGCATGGATACAGAGTGTTAATAGGATGGAATAACATGCACCTTCAGCAAGTTTGCAGATGACATTGAAATGAGGCAAGCAGTTGATGTGATGAAGGGCTGAGCTAACATTCAGAAAGAGGTCAGGAAGCTGAAGAGCTCAAAAAATGGGCTGTCAGAAACCTCTTAAAGTTTAACAAAGGCAAATACAAAGTTCTGCACTTGGGAAGGAATAAATTCATGTAATATAACAGGCAGAGGCTGGAAATACACACACCATGTGGTCCACTCTCCTAAACATCTTGATTGCCCTCCTCCGGACTTGCTCCTGTCTGTCAATGTCTGTCTTATAGTTTGGAGCTCAAAAGTAGACACTGTATTCTAGATGAAATCTCATGAGTGCCAAACAGAGGAGAATAATCACTTCCCTCGACCTTCCAGTTATTCTTATCGCAGCCCTCTTTTGCCTTTATTGCTGCAAGGGCACACTGCTGACTCACGTTCAACTTTTCTATTTGGACTCCAGGATCATTTTCTACAAGAGGGAGCTTAGTTTCCATTTTGCTAGATCATGTTTTTCTCCATCACACAAAAATAATTCAAAAATGACAAGTTGAATATAAAGATAGTGGCAGAGGAAGTTTAAGGTATTTTCCTGTAGTGAACACTACATATTTACAGTTGGTAGTGAAAAGGATAAAAAGCCCTCCAGTTTGTATGGAATAACTTTTCTCTCTTTTTCATTCAAAGAAAATCTTACAGTCTACAATTACAAGATCAATACCTTCATATCATTCTTGCAAACCAAATTTCAGAAGTTCTTTACTCAACAATTAGGCCTTCAATCAATAAAGCACTGGCCAAACCCCAGGTTTTCAGCACTCTGAAGATTAGCCAGTGGGGAAAAGGAATGAGAGAAGATGGGGACGTTTTACTTGAGATGAATTATTTTTGTCTGCTGTGCTGTTTTTCATACTCAGGATGAAGTTCAGTGAGTCCAAGTTAGTGTTATCCAGTTACTAATAATCTGAAAATATTACTGGAGTCATATATGACATAGCACAAGGAAAAGATAAAAGACTTTAATAATGTTTCTAGTCCACTTCCTTAATTTGGAAACAAGCATGATGGAAGAGATGCATTTTATTTTTGGAGCAGATGAGAAGTGAAAGAGCACTGATATACTACCAGCAGCATAAAAAGTACATGGGAGTTTGCTCTGTGAGACAATGAAGAGGAGATATTTAGGGAATGGATGCAGTTTTGCTATGTTGTTAAATAGTTTTGCACCTAATTTGCCATGCAGAAAGGCAGAGCATATTACTTTGACTAAGGCATGCCAATTACGTGGTTACAGTGCTTGTGGGACTTGAGCTAACTTCTCTGCATATCGTTATGCAGTTTTAACAAGTTATCCTGTTGCAGCTGAGGTCAGTGCTAGCTTAGGATTTTGCCTGACAGAGAGCAGATGTGCCCACAGATAGTAAAAGCAGTACATACATCTAAAGCCCAAGCAACCCCAAGCAGCTCTAAGTGTGATAGGCAGTTTGCTGAGAAATAACCAAAGAATCAGAAGCCTATGAACCATCCCTCTCCAATTCAATCATATTTTCCTCTTCTTTCTTTTCTTCTGGCCCTATTCTCACACCACTAACTTCAGAGTGGATCTGACTGAAACAGAGGAGAGGAGCATGTTATTAGCTACAATGTCAAGTTCCAGTTCGTCTCCTGAATGATGACATTGTCCATTCAATCCCTTCAGAGTAAAAAAGACCAGGAATTCAGCTCTCCCACTTTCTGGGTGAGTGCTTTAACTGCTAAGGTAATTACGAAAACAACGGCATGACCACTACTACCAATCTTGATGGAGTTTTAGGCTGGTATGTGTTCAGATATTTTTTTTTTTTTTAATCGCATATATAATGCAGATCCATTTCTTCAAATTTGCTCATCACCATCAGTGTTTATCCTTAAACCATTAATCACACTATGCCTCATCTGGCTCCTCCTCTGATGTGATGACTACAGAAAAGCTACACTCTGATGAAGTTTCCCCCTCATACCCCACCCAATCTTTTCCTAGAGACTTTTATAAGGTTTTCTCTCAACTCTTGGCTTCAGAAGAGACCTAGCTGTCTCTTCACTGTCTCTCTATGCAAATGTCTTCCTTTTCCTTCTGCAGGATATTATATACTGCTATGCCAGCAGTCTAGGTCTTTGATTTATTCTATACAAATAGTACAAACAGTAGTGTGGATCTGTATTGCTGGATGTCACTCACTCATTAATGATCAATAAAAGTACTACTATCAATGTGAATATTTCTAAACAAGTTTTTAAATTTATATAGATTTCCAACAGCAGAAACTTTCTTTTCTTTTTGTAAGCAAGAACCAATTTCTAAATAAAAGGAGCTTCGATAATAAAATATAGTGAAATGAAGACATGGAATGGTTTTTAGACTAAGACTTTGATTCAGTGTCAGACATTCAATGTCAGATTCAACATCAGACATTGGAACAGGCTTCCCAGGGAAGTGGTTGAGTCACCATCCCTGGAGGTACTCAAAAAGCACGTAGACAGGGTACTCCATAACATGGTTTAGTGCGCATGGATGATGGTTGGACTCGATGATCTTGAAGGTCTTTTCCAACCTAAATGATTCTATGATTCTATGACTTCATAGTCAGTTTGGGCCCCACCCCGTTAGTCTACATCACTGGACTGGAACAGAAGCTAGTTTTTTATAAAGTGCAGTAATGTGTACAACTTATCCTTTCACAGGTTTGAGCAGTGAGAAAAGGAAGAACTGGCAGAGGCTCGCTCTGCCTGCATTCTGCACTGTTCTGGTCAGAGCTCTAGCCCACTCCTTTCCGAAGCCATTCTTCATGGGCATAACATAGCTTTCAGTCAGTAATTCTTTTGTAACAGCATTTTCTTGGAGGAACAGCTTTCTAAAAGTTAAATTGATAATGAAATCAGTAAGGGAGGTAGATGAAGTGATGAGGAGTACCAGCCAGTTACAATGCAATCATCTAACAACCACTATAGAATATAAATACATAAAAGTCTACAGTTTCACACAGTGCCAGATATTACAACAGACTGGGAAACATGTATGGTAAGGAGAATAACAAAAGATAAAGATGACATACCTTCTTCAAAGAGTAGCATCATGTTCGTGCTTTTGTTAGCAACCATGTTATTCAGTAAGGCAATTACAGTTTGCATTGTATTCCCAAGTATACTGTCTTGGTGTTCCTGTAAAAACAACAAAACACACACCCCCCCCAAATAAAATAATCTAGTTTTCCTTTTGCAAGGTTAGAAGATGACTATTCCCTTCCAAAAATGTAGTAATACAAAAGCAATACTCTCTCAGTCCCTTAGTTCAACATTTAAAATACTAGAAAACCAGCCAAATATCTTAGTAGGTAACATCAATTTCAGGGAGTCAAATCTAAAAACTTGGACCAAAATTTCTCCCATGTTCTTTTGAACTGAAAGAGTTCCTAATTAGGTCTAAAATTTTAGGACTTTTAAAAATGACATAGAGCTTTATCAACCTAATCTCTGTATATTCAGAACCAGGAACATTTTCCTTTGTATGGTATTTCTTTTATTAATGGTATTAATTTTACTCTTTTCAGTTTCAGCTTGATAACCCACAATAAGTCGTAAAAGCTATTTGGTTTTTGTTTGTATACTTTCATAAGTATAAAATTAATTTCACATGCACATTAAAGACCTATTTCTGTATTGAATTGCATCATCTATGACGTCTTTCTCATGCTTGATGATTGCTTCAGTGATTTTTCCACAATTTTCTGAGACTATGCTGGTAAAAGAAAGGCATCGGGGTTTATAAGAAATTTATTTTCCTCCCTTACAGTTAAGACTCTTGCACACGCAACCTAAAAAGGGTGGATAAGGCAGTGCAATCAAAGCATTTGTTTATTCATGCTAGTGACAATAACAACTCAGGTAACTTCCAAGAAGCCAAAACAGGACAAGCTTTTCCAAATCTGAGTCTAGATATAAATATAAGCCTGAATACATTTCAAATCTCCCTAGAAGTTTCAGGAAATATTTTGTCTGATTTTTCAGACTCAAAGCCAGATAGAAACATACTTCCAAAGTGAAAATAACAACATTAAGAAAAAACGGTCATAGTTCATATATTGTAGACTTTTCACATGCACCTAGGTGACTTCCATGCTTCCCTTTCCCATCAAATCTCTCAATGTACTGATATCACTCAACTACTTCATTGCCACAGAATACGCCATCTATTCTGATCCATCTCCTGTCTGACAGTAGGCCTTTGAAAAAAGTTAAAATTTAAGCTGGACAAGATGAAAGATTATTGGTCTGAAGTTAAGTATTTCAGATGACAAAAATTACTTCAGCCCTTGAATACAAAGGAACACCTTCCCTGAAAGTTCTTTCAGGAGACGAGTGCTGGTGGCCAAGAACAATTTATTTCCTACATCTCTTCGCTCAGGTATTTATGACCTTCTGTCTCAGATATATGCTTGAAAACAGCAGTAATCTATCCCTTGTTGGGGTAATCTTATTGACCATCTAAATACCATACCTGGTGGAGAATTAGGCTGCTTGACTGTTACCCAGCAGCAATCACAAAGAACATATTTTATGATTCTTCCAAGAATTCACTTCAAGCCACCCTATGAACGCCATTCAGAGTGATAACTCTAGTTTATAAGTCACTTTTTGGGTTGGGACAGGACTAAGTCAGCAGCACTGCATTTAGGATAAACCACACTATTTGAATCCCTGCCTGGAAACTTCATATAACTGGTTGAAAGAAATTCTGAAGTGAGACACTCCTGATTTTTATTTCTTGACCATTCTGATAAAATTCAGAATACTGTGAAATGCAACTTCAATGCCACTTCAGAAAGTCCTCTGTTACAGTGGTTAAAAAGGGTCATGCTACGTGAAGAACAAATGTTTTCCTTTAAATGTTTAACTACTGAAGGAAAGATTTTGACAGGCAGAGGCTCAGATGGTTGCTTTGAAAGCATTAATTTCTGCTTCTGCACTCAAACCCTAAAACTAAATGCTATTATTTCCTGTAAATACCATGAAATATACACGATAAGGCATAACACATTAACAGATAAAGAAATATATAAACTTAGACAGCCTCCTATTCAACTTCAGGCTGTATGATTTTTCTGTTCATACTAGAGCACTTTACACTGGATCATAAGGAGAAGAGACAAGGAAGAGTGCCTCTCAGCCTTTTGAAGGACTGTAGTTTCCTACCAAACCCTAAAAAAATATATATCCAAAAGCCCCAAAGTTCTATTTACTTTACATAGCAATTTGAGATGTCATTTATGATTTCTATAAAGAGTACAATAAATATTTGTTCCTCTGAAGGTTTAAAATACAGCCTGATAAATTTAAAAGCAATGTTGGAAAGTATAAACACTACATTCTTCAAAAGACAAGGTAACCAGTACAGAAAAAAGATACCATAAAGCCATGGTACTAAAAATAAATTTGAAGTTATTTCCTACAGATAGCTTAAGGGTAAGAAAAACATTTTTTCAAAAGATCAACAATGTGTTTATCTCGTAGTCTATCATCACAATATCTTATTTATTCTCCTAAAGAACATTTAGAAAACAATACATCAGATAGTAAGAATGACTGTTTGTGTTATTGAAGTTAGATACATACTCTGAGAATACAAAATTAATAAAAGAAAAAAAAAAAAGCACAAGTGCCAAAATGAGAGCTGACTCAAATATTTTCTTTGCAAGTACAATATTTCTATTACTGCCCCATATATGTGAAGTAAACATCTTCTAGTAAAATTCCCTTTTGAGATATGCAATTACAAGAGAAGCTGGTAGCTGCTTACGATAGCAATCTTTTGCATTCACCAGGTTAGGAACATTAAAATGAAGCCATCTTTGCTTTAAACGGAGATCAATTATACTATACAATCCCCTACTGAAAGACTAGCACTGATGCTTTTACTTATATCAAAGCATGTGTAACAGTACTTATCTTAGCCTAAACACATATAAACCAGAATTCAAGATGCAATGTAGATATCTTGAGGAAGGAAAATGGTCTCTTAATGATTAAAATAATTTTACAAATGGTATACTCAGCTGTACTACTAGACTTTTAACGTATGTATCATAGATAGTTTTTGACAAGATACTAGGTTTCAAGAAGCTACAGGTATGCTTTATTTAGATAAGTCATCATTGATTGCTGTTATACTTGATTTTAGAGGTTTATATAAAAATATTTAACTTCTTCATAATCTATCAAGGAGCAAAGCTGATCTAATTTGTGTGCACAGCACCACAGACTGTGGACATTTAACGAACAGTGCACTTGACAGCTTTAATAAAACATAGCATTTGCCAGCAGAGATAATTAGAATTGAAGCAGCAAAAATTCTAGTGTTTGGCAACACAGATGAAACAACTTCATTAAAATGTACAGCTTCGGTGAATTAAAGGCAGGAAAGCACTGGACCCTGAAGAATCAGTCTTCTCAAAACTAATTGCTTCAGTGCTTAAAAAGGACAGCTATGAAATACCAAGGGCATAACAAGGAAATACTAGCATAAAAAAAAGGAACCACAGAAGATAAATCAGGCTTTTCAAATAGGACTGCACTGTATTTAGGCCATTAAACTTTTCATTCTAATTTTGAAGGGCTGTATGTTAACAAAAGAAATCAGTTGAACTATTTTTTTTTAAAGCCAGTTAGGTAAGAGGGTGTGAATTAGCAAAGTGGGAGTATGAATCTTGGCAAGATACTATGGCTAAAGCTGCCATTTCTCTTCCTTTAAGTGGATTAGAACTTCGAACAGCATAGGCAAACTACAGTATTTTAATTACAATTTAGATACTGAAAGAGATGGCAATTGTGATAAGAGGTTACCAGTTTGGGAGACTTCACATACATGCCTCCTACTCACATATCTAAGAATCCAGAATAAAATGCACTAAATGCTGTGTTTACAGATATGCTGTAATTAAATCTAAGGACCACTATATACCACAGCACTACTGCTCATTCAATACAATCAGAGTGATTAAACTTTAACTATAAAGGGACTCTCCTTCTCAAGATTACATATGACCTATGAAAGCAAGTTAGGTAAATAAGGGGATGTAACAAGATGGAGGCTTGATTTTTCATGCACTAAATCCACCGAAAGAAGAAAATTATAGAAATGAACTATATCCAAATTACATTTACTAAAAGATGCCATTTTTATGTGATGATTCTTTGGCACAGTATAGTTGAGATAAAATAAACCAAAGCATTGATGCTAACAAGGACCTCTAACAAGAGCACAGTTTAATACTGCATTCAACCTAGCTTATTCTGATATAGTGTATTACTTTGAATATATGAAATAGAGGATCAGAAACTTTTCTGGACATAACAGTAGAACCCTTCTGTATGAAATGGTATTATTAGCATACAGCCTGCAAGGGACATTCACAACAGCATATGCAGCATTCTTCAATCACAAGAGGAAGCCCACTCAGAAACAAATTTAATCCAGCTATATACGTAGTTGGCTGATCTGGTCTTTAACATTTTGTGACTTTTGATGCATAAGACCAGTTATGCATAAACTGAAAGCATATAAGTATGGATCTCTAACATTAAGGTAATACTATTTTCCTTGTTGATGATCTAAGTCACAAGTAAGCACAGCCATGTCCCTTGCTACTCTGCTTTTCAAAAATCAGCCTTTTTCAAAAGCACAGTTGTAACAGAGCTAATATTTCCAAATATTTTCCTCTAGGTATGGTAATACAGTAAGGAGCAACTACTAAACTGGTAACCCATTTCTGAAATAATCATGCTTCTCAGATGTATCACAACAGCGATATATTCAGTCCACACATGAAGATCAGAAGTCTTTGCAACTTTTGCAGAAATTCCTGTTGGAATATTAAAAAAAAAAAAAAAAAGAATCTGTATTCTTAGTCACCAAGTGCTTAGGCAAAGTCAATTGAGGACAGGGAAACAGTAGTAATTTTGAAGGACTGATGAAGGAGAAAGGATACCATTAATAAAAACCTAGTATGTCAAGTACCAACCAACAGAAAGCAGTAATGTTAGTCTTAGGTTTTGTTTTCCTACCCACTGCAGCAGGCGATGCAAAATTTCACGATATACTTTTTGAGAAGTACATCCATTTTTTAGAAGTATATCAATTTACAAGTGTGTTCTCTTGCCATACC